TAGTTACGGGAGAAGTAATGGGCCTTGATGGGCTTTAGTGGGAAGAGGAAAAAGGCTGCTGCGCCCCCCCTCCCCTTTGGTCCGAATTGGACTAGGGAAAAGGGGGCCGGCCACCTCTCCTTCTCCTCCTATTCCTTCTCCCTTCCTCCCCTCTTGGTGGACTCCTACTAGGACTTGGAGTCCTAGTAGGACTCCCTATCCTGGCCGCACCTTTGCCTTGGCCGGCCTCCTCCTCCTCCATCCTTTATATACGGAGGCAGGGGCACCTCTAAACACACAAGTTGACACAAGTTGATCCACGTGATCTATTCCTTAGCCGTGTGCGGTGCCCCCTGCCACCATATACCTCGATAATACTGTAGCGGAGTTTAGGCGAAGCCCTGCTGCTGTAGTTCATCAAGATCGTCACCACGCCGTCGTGCTGACGAAACTCTTCCCCGACACTTTGCTGGATCGGAGTCCGGGGATCGTCATCGGGCTGAACGTGTGCTCGAACTCGGAGGTGCCGTAGTTTCGGTGCTTGATCGGTTGGATCGTGAAGACGTACGACTACTTCCTCTACGTCGTGTCATCGCTTCCGCAGTCGGTCTGCGTTGGGTACGTAGACAACACTCTCCCCTCGTTGCTATGCATCACATGATCCTGTGTGCGCGTAGGAAATTTTTTTGAAATTACTACGAAACCCAACAGCTTGTTGGCTCGAGCTCGAGCTCGCTTCTTTCTGTAGTCGTGCTCGATGTGCCTTCCTGATTTGGCACTCATAGTCTGAGTCAACAAGCTTGGGAGCTGGTGGTCTAGCCATAGAAATGAAGTGGTCAATCTTTTCCTCAGGCACTTTCTCCCTCGGCGGCGTTGCCGGTTTTGGTCCAAAATGGGCGTCCACTTCTGCCCGCACTATGGCATTGTTTTGCTCCTCGGTCATGTCGTAAGGCCTCTGGGGAAGAGGAGCGAGGCTTGGACCATATTTATATCGCTTCATGTCTCCGCCTGTACTTCTTGTACTACCTCGACTCGTACCGCTACGCACCATAGCTGCGGCGTGTCTCTTCTGCGATTGCTGAGACGGCGGAGACGGCTGACGTGGCTGAGTTGGAGCAGGAGGAGTGGCCTGACGCTGTGCCGGACTTGAAGCAGGAGGTGTGGCCTGATACGGTGTCGGACTTGAAACGGGAGGAGTGGCCTGAGGCTGTGCCGTACTTGAAGCAGGAGTCTGCTCACGCGTTCGTGGACTTGGAGAAGCGTGACTCTGCTGACTCGGTGGCGGACTTTGAGGAGGAGTCAGCAGACGCGGTGTCGGTGGACTTTGAAAGATGATGCAATCCTTTCTCCATAGGATGATACGATGTATGGCCTCTCCCAGTGTGTGCTCGTCGTCACCTCCAGGAATGCCAAGCTGTAGCCCCGAATATGGGTCCACCACCTCATCAACCAAGACACGAGCATAGCCCGCTGGAATCGGGGCGCAATGGAAGGTTGCTTCGGGGGTAATTGTAAAAGCAACTGCATCCGCCACCTTCATGGATATGTTCTTCATTTTGAAGTGTAGCTCACAGTTAGTGTTCTCTATGATGTCATCCATAGGGTATGTATCGAGCAGTGTGTCGCCCGGGGCGGAACCAACGCTGCTTCTCGGCATGGATGGGACGGTGCTATCCAATGCTGGATGATCATCTGCTTGCTGTTGCCGCTGCTGAGACCCTCTTTCCTGGCTAAGTGAGTCGATCTGCTACTGCTGCTGCTGGAATTTGAGTGACAAGTCCGCGTGTCTTGCTTCTAGGCCTTGAAGGCGTTCCGCGTCCTGCTTCCTCTGCTCCTCCTCCAGCTTCCTCTTCTTATCCTCCTCCATCTTCTTTCTTGCACGGGTCCTGTAGTCAACGTTCCATTTCGAAAAGTCCTCATACCAGGGAATAACGCCCTTGCCTTGTGTTCTTCCCGGGTGTTCAGGATTTCCCAGGGCGCGCGTAAGCTCGTCGTTCTCTCTGTTGGGCGTGAACACCCCCTTTTTAACATCTTCTATTGCATCAAGTAAATTTTGACTTGCTCCTTTTAGACTTGCCTTCTTTGAAAGCAGGCCTGTCTTCGGGTCCAACGCCCCCCATGCACATAGAACCAACTTCTGCACCTGGGGGCCAGCTCCTAGTAACCGGAGTGACCCCTGCATCCTCCATCTCTTGCTCAGACTTATCCCACTTAGGCATTGCCACCGCGTAGCCACCTGGACCCAGCCTATGGAACTGCGTCTTTTTTTGTGGCATTGGCCTTGTTTTTTGCCGACCGTTCCTTAGATAATTCTGATTCCTTGAATTTCACGAAAGCGGGCCAGTGTTCTCTTTGCTTCTCGAGTGTTCCTTTGAATTCTGGAGTCTTCCTTTCTGCAGCGAGGTAGTTGGCCCATACAGTTTTCTTGTGGGTGTTGAATGCATTTGCCATCTTCTTAAGAGCAGCGTCCTTGACTTTCTGCACATCTGCATCAGTGAAATGATCTGGTAGGGTGAAATGTTCCATCAGAGATTCCCAAAGCTTTTGTTTTGCTCCGTCGTCGACCCAAATAACATCTGAACGTTTAGTTTTTGGCTCTTTCCATTCTTAAATGGAGATCGGGAGTTGGTCCCTCACAAGAACTCCGCACTGACGAGTCCACTTGTTCGCAATGTTCTTAGGCGTGAGGGGTTCGCCATTAGTTTTGATGGAGTCGATGTTGTACTTTACACCCTCCTTCAACTTTTTGCCCGGGCCTCGCTTTATCCTGCTGTCTGTAGAAGCAGATTTGCTCGATCCGGTGGGCTGAAAGAAGAAAGATCGATTCGTTAATATATATATATATATATATATATATATATATATATATATATATATATATATATATATATCTTCAAATAAAAAAACATGTGATGATAACCAGATGCCTGCTTATATAAATATACCTCGCCGGTAGTCTTTGTTATTTCAAGATCAACATTGTCTGTGTCATCATAAACATTGTCTGCGTCATCATAATCATAATCATAATCATAGTTCATGACTTCATCAGCTCGGTCGTCGAGATCGAATACGTTATCATCACCCTCCCCGGTATTATTCAGATATTGGGAGCCGTCATCTGTTTCATTCAGATCATTGATACGTCTCCAACGTATCTATAATTTTTGATTGCCCCATGCTACATTATCTACTGTTTTGGACTATATTGGGCTTTATTTTCCACTTGGTGGACATGTGTCCTCGAGCTCCATCGTTCCGCCGGCGTCTGCTCCAACGTCGGCGCAGTGCTGGGTCCGTGGTTGATGGATGGCGGGTTTGGTTTCCTCCATCGGCGTCTTAGTCGTCGTGGGGTGTCAGATCTGAAGTTCGATGACGTATCTGGAGTGTTGCCCCGGTCTGATTCGTTCAACGACAATGGCTTCACTTCTAGTGAGCCACCTTGGAGATCCGCAAAGCTGCATATCAGCGGCGGAGCCGCGTCGAGTTCAGGTGAGGAGGTGATCTGTCAATCTTTTCTTCGATAGCTGCTGTGGTGGTGTCAGAGGCAGGTGACGGACGTTGGTATCAAGCACAAAAATGTCCTGCTATCTTTTTAGTTTTGTCATGTCGTTTAATTATACTTTAATCTTTATGATATAAATGACGCACGTATTACCATAAAAGAAGTGAAAATTAGGCCGTAACCCAAAACACCCACCAGGCAGATTGTTTGTGAAATAGGCTGGAATTCAAACCGAAGTACGAAAATAACCTTGGCATTTCATTTTAACGAAGTGCAAGTAATCTTATCCTAGACCACAAACCGGAAACGGTATGACCATTTTACCCCTCCGGACTCCACCGACCACTCCGCCCCTTTATACAAGCCCGTGGCATAACGGCAAGTGGGCAAACACCGCAACAGCCACAGCTCCCGCACCACCGCAGCGCCCCCACGCCCACGCCCACGCCCTCGAACTCCGACGACAAACCCTCCCCTGCGCGCCCTAGCCCATCGCCGCCATGCGCGGCGGCGGGCTGCTCCGGGCCCTGGCGGGCAGGTTGCGCGCGGCCCTCGTCGGCCGTATCCGCTACGGCGGTGGCCGGGCCCACGGCGGAGGTGGCGGCCCGGCTGCGAGGGGAGGTCACGTGGTGAGGACCGATGTATCCACCGGCGAGAGCGGGCGGGGCTCGTACAAGGGGGAGGCTCGTACGGCGGGAGGACCAGCGAGGGCGGGCAGGGCTCGTACCAGGCGGGAGGCTCATACGGCGGGAGGACCGGCGAGGGCGGGCAGGGCTCGTACCAGGCGGGAGGCTCATACGGCGGGAGGTCCGGCGGAGACGGCGCCGGGCATGGACACGGAGGGAGCGCACGGGGTGGGCACGGCGCGCGCGGATCGGACCATGAGCAGGCCAACCGTTTTCTGGGGAGGCCTTCGGTGCCGCCTGAAGAAGGTGCGTCTCGTCTCCCATGTTCCCTGTACCCTTCTGTGCTGTCGAAGTACCTGTCGCTGCTTGCGTTCTCATATTCTCGGTTGGTTTTGAACAGACGCTTGATGAGCGTGACCTGCTGGAGAACCTCGAGGAGCTGCATTACCAAGTGGAGGTTCGTGATTGACCACTGAAGACTGCTTCATTGCGCTGCTTGTTTCTGCTATTTCCCGTTTTCCTGACGTGGCTGGAGTAACGTTGCTGTGTGTCAAATGCTGGTTGCTTGAAACTGCTACAGGCAACTTGCTGTGTTGTTTACTTGTCTGATTTATCTTAGATGATGCTTAGCTGTTATGTTCATGAAACTGGAGATTGCTTGACTGTCTATATTGGGTTGATGATCTTTGGGAGCTGGAGTACCAAATTGAGGTTCATGATTAACGACTGGAATTGCTAGAGTCATCGATGCTTTTTTTGTTTCCCTGGCTTGTCTATGCTGCTTTTGTTTTCATGATGTGTGGCTCGAGTAACGTTCTGCATGTTTACTGTTTGTCAAATGCTGGTTGCTGGAAACTGCCATAGGCAGTAGTACCTGTGTTGTTACCTGTCTGATTTATATTAGATGCTTAGCTCTTTGTTATGTTTATGAAACTGGAGATTCCTTGATTAATTGGGTTGATGATCTTTAGGAGCTGGAGTACCAAGTTGAGGTTCATGATTAACCACAAGAATTGCTTGATTGCTATTATATTGGGTCATTGGTGGTATTTTTCTTTCCCTGATTTGTCTCCTGGAGCATAATGGCACTGACGCTGGAGTGTATGTTATGAAATGATGTAAACTGCTATACTTGTAACTGGTCGTTATGCTTCGGGAAGGTGATTTTATCTTAGATGCTTAGTTGTTTCTTATGTTTTATTAGTATGAGACTGGAGATTGATTTTGGGTTGAGGGTCTTCGGGAGCTTGAATACAAAGTTGAGGTTCGTCATGAACCATGGAGTTTACTTGATTGTCTTGGTCATCTAAGCTTAGATGCTGAAACTTGCCTACTGTATGACCAGATTTTCCTGTCACTGTTTTGGTCGCGAACTAATAGTAACGTTTATGCTGGATATTGTTGGATGTTGGATCAAATAACTAGTTGTGTATAGCCGTGTTTTGCTTGGTAATTGTGCGTAATTATATGTTCAGATGCTAAACTGTTCATTCTGATACTGATAATAATGAAGCTTGCCTACCGGATAATATGTTAATTCAATGGCCTTGAAATTTGGGATTTCTGATTTCGTAGCACTCATATTGCACCTGTGCCAAGTTGAGGTTCTTGATTAACTACTGGAGATTGCTTGCGGTATTTCTGTTTTCCTAACTTGTCTTGAGCAGCATAACGATATTGGTGCTATATGCAACTATATGTTCCATTCATTCTTGTACCAATAGTAATCTAACTTGCCTACTGGATATATGTAATTCAACCTGGTCATTATGCTTCGGGAAGGACACTGCTATAGGCATATAGTTAGTTCCGTTGTTCCTGGCCATTATGCTGCGGGAAGGTGATTTTATCTTATGCTTAGCTGTTTGCTATGTTACTAATACTGGAGATTGATTGATTGCCCTGATTGGTTTGACGGTCTTCGTGAGCTTGTTAGAAGCTATGTGCAACTATATGTTCCGTTCATTCTTGTACTAATAGTAATCTTTTTTTTGAACTGGCTGTACTAATAGTAATGAAACTTGCCTACTGGATATATGTAATTCAATGGCATTGTTCCTGGTCATTATGCTTCGGGAAGGACACCGCTATAGTCATATAGTTAGTTCCGTTGTTCCTGGCCATTATGCTGCAGAAAGGTGATTTTATCTTATGCTTAGATGTTTGCTATGTTACTACTACTGGAGATTGATTGATTGTCCTGATTGGCTTGAGGGTCTTCGTGAGCTTGACCACCAAGTTGAGGTTCTTGATAATTGTAACTATTCTGTTTTGGTTTAGTTATTAACCAATAGCAATGTTTTTGGATGTTGGAAATAACTATATGCATGATATGTTTAGATCCTCAACTGTGCTACTAATACTGTTTGTTTGATGTTCCTGCGAGGTTAAAGATTGCGTTGGTAGATCTGTTAATATATTTGTGCTGGTAGATCTATTGATATATTTGTGCTGGTAGATCTGTTCATATATTTGTGCTGGGAGTTCTGCTAGATTTAGCACCATATCGTCTGTTAACCATTTGATTAGCTTATTCCAAGTATTCTTATTAATTATTTCATCATTGATGTACTTTGACCATCTGTTTCATATGTTCTTTCATGTTCCTGGGGATTTCTTGTGTTGCGTCTTACTCTGGGTTCTGTCTACTTTGTATTTGACCTCGTATTGTCTTAGCAGAAAGGTGATATGGTAGTTGGGACCTTGTATCTCTGTTTGATATGGTGTTGATAGTAGATATTGGATGAGCTGTCTTGTTGTATCTCTGTTTAATTTCACGAACAACACTGCCCATTTAAATTTCATTTACATAAGTTTTGATGCATTCTATATTTCTGCACAGAGAATCGAAAGGATCCAGAACTTACCGGAGAGGATCGCAGCCATTGGGCAGAAGTTTCATGATCATTGGGTTACGGTCAGCCTTGCCTTCAGCACAATGTATGCAACTGTATCAGGAAAGGTCCAGGACCAGGCCGTTTCAGTGAAGGCCAAGATGATTGACCAGGCCGTTTCAGTGAAGGCCAAGATGATAGGAGTGAAGGATAAACTGAAGGAAAGGCTCTCTCCGCAGAAGGTCAGACCGAACGACGATCAGCCGGAAGATGAACCTATTGCCATACCATTGGCAACAGATTTCTCTCCATGAGCCGGTACTGAAGACGGCTCTATTAGTCTCACAACAACGCTTGTCTTTTTTTCATCAGTGTCTTGCTGTAGCTTGTTAGATACCGATCACTGAATCAGCTTCTGTTCTGGGCAAGTCGGGCAAAAACCATCTTGCCAACAATTACCTGATGTGTGCTGGCTCAGTTCATGAGCAGATGGATGCATCTCTTGTATGCGCTACTGTCAGGGCGAGAACAGTAGCAAATTAGCTGCAACAGCCCTTGTATGTTTGCCAAGTCCGCCCGCTGAATCAGGGGCTGCCCTCTGCATGTGAAAACTTACTCTTCAGTTGCAAGGACAATTTCTTAAATTCTCAGGCAACTTCATGTCTTCTGTATCAAAACACTGCTCATTTCTGATAAGATTGTGGCCAAACAAAGCATACATAGTCAAAATAATAATATTGTAAAGCATATCTGGTGACTATCGCAAAATACCCTTATTCCCAAACATGTTGTCGGCTTTGCGAGTTAACACTTAACAGCCCCCCAAAATCATCTAACTCTAAAAACACGGTCACTTTCGAGAGTCGGGGCATCTTCACCTCAAACTGTCCGGACAAGTTTACCATCCAACACGTTGCCACAATGATCCGCGGTCCGGTCCAGATGTCGGGGAGTTTACCATCTGATGTGGCGAAGCTGCTCCGGGGCAACACCACCCCTCGCTGCCGGCGGGCTAGGAAGCCGTTGCCGGCCATGCCCAATTTAATTGCTTTATGTTGGCTGGCAATCTACTAATAAGATATAGCAAAATGGAGTATGTATTTTGCCCTACTCTATTACTCATGAACATATAGCTTCACTTGACTAATGTGACAATGATACAATATCAGTATATGTGATTGTCCAGGTGTTGATTACAATCCTAGCTTAAAACTCCGCCCTCGATGAGAGGATGAAGTATATAGACCATTCTAATTATCCACCGGTTTAATTGTTTTATGTTGGCTGGCAGCCTATTAACAAGATGTAGTAAAATGGAGTATGTATTTTGCCCTACTCATGAACATATAACTTCACTTAACATGTAGCATTGATAATTTTCTCCAGTTAGAATATCAGTAACTGTCCAGGTGTGGATGACAACCCTAGCTTAAAAGCTTCGTCCTTGCTGAGAGGATGAAGTATAGCCCATTCTGGTTATCTATCAGTTTAATTGTATTTATGTTGGCTTGCAGCCTACCGACAAGATGTAGTCAAACGGAGTATGTACTTTGCCTACTCATGAACATATAGCATCACTTGACAAATGAAAGAATGGTATTTTTCTCCGATTAGAATATCACTACATGATTGTTCAGGTGTGGATGACAACCCTAGCTTAAAAGCTTTGTCCTTGCTGAGAGGATGAAGTATAGCCCATTCTAGTTATCTATCGGTTTAACTGTATTTATGTTGGCTTGCAGCCTACAAACAAGATGTAGTCAAATGGAGTATGTACTTTGCCTACTCATGAACATATAGCATCACTTGACAAATGAAAGAATGGTATTTTTCTCCGGTTACACTAGTGCAGAACCGGGCTTTAGCGCCGGTTCGTAAGGGCCTTTAGTGCCGGTTCTGCAACCGGCACTAAAGAGTGGGGACTAAAGCCCCCTCCCCCTTTAGTATCGGTTCATCACGAACCGGCGCTAAAGGGCCACCACGTGGCAGGAGCCAGGCCCGGGTGCTGGTAGACCATTAGTACCGGTTGGTAACACCAACTGGTACTAAATGTTTGGGGGGGTTTTGTTTTTTTTCATTAATTTTGTGTTTTTCATTTAATTCTTTTTTGTTTGCTGGTATTTTACGATACTACATATTGTACACGTTATGCATATATATAAATAGAGTTTCTCGTAGAACCGCATATATATAAATATATATCAGGGAATGTCTCACAACCACCACCATTAGTTATTCACACACACACACACACACACACACACACACACACACACACACACACACACACACACACACATATATATACAATTTCTCCTACATGTTGCCTTGGTGCCTTCGGAGCACGATGACAAGTGATTCATGAGGGCGGTAGTGGGTAATAGTATTCTCCTTTGGGATCTATGATCTGGTCGAGCAAAAATCCTGCTATTTTCTCTTGAAGTGCTCGTATGCGCTCCGTTGTTAGGAGCTTCTCCCACACGTCATGGAACTGTTAAGAAGGAGATCAATATTGATAACCATGTAAAACTTGTGAATAGTGTTATGTGAAACGTACCCATTGTTGTCTATCAGATCTAATCCTTTCGGACGCCATCATGCGAATGTTCTCGCAAATGTAGTATGCACACAGATCATTCCCCGATGCCTGCTTCAGGGCCTTTACGAGAATGGAATTGAATCAGATAATGATTAATCAAGCATGATAATTAATTAATGGTACTGAAACAAGAATTAAAGAGATGGTAGCTAGCTAGCTAGTACTAGCTACTTAATTACTTACCTTGGGTCGATACCAAAATAGCTTTTGTGGCCATTTTCCTGGAGTCACCTTGATGTACTTTGCCCAAGCCCTGCCCGCCGACAAAGAAAATTAATAAAAGGGTTATTAAAAATAGTTCATATCAGGAAATGACGAACTAAATAGGCCGAGATATAGTTAATAATGATTGAAATTACCTGTTGACTATCCCCTTCACGATGTTGTAGTCACTATCTTTTTTAAGTACTGAGTCCAGTAATTCAACTTTTGCATGGTCAACTTTAATGTCTAACAAGATCCAGTGGAACGTGCATGCGCATACGTTTGCATGTATAAATTAAGCGGGCATGTGCATAACACTAATCAACTATAACCCTAAACCCTATACACTTATTAACATCTAGCTACTAAGCAAAAACAGAATTTATAGTACAAGATAATGTGACTCACTCGAAGTTGTAAGGAAGTAATATATCTTCATTGCTATTGAGGCGCTTCAAGAACTCTAGCATGCTATTCTCTACATCTTGTTTACAGTATTCCAATTTCCATGTGTATTCATTAACGGTATTTGGGTCAATGAACCCAATGCCATAGCGTCCACCTTTTTTTATTTCATACATCTTCATCCTGCATAATACCACAGAAAAGAATATATAGTGAGGATATATAATTACAGGTAATTAATGATCAATCAATGAGCACTAGAGCTAGCTTGAGACTTAAATTACAGAAAGAAATCACTTACAGACAATAGCAACTGATGATAGGGGTGGGCATATAAACCGAAAACCGAACGACCGAACCGAATTTACCTGAACCGAAGCCGAAGTGACCGAAACCGAATTGTTCGATACTATGCTCGGTTAGCAATTCTGAGAAACCGAATTTTGTTCGGTGAAATCGGTCTACACAGTCTGTCAACCGAATTGACCGAAGCACCGAGGCCTACCACTAACTGTCTGGCGCGTCTCCATAAATTAGCTCCCATTTATACGCTTTGTGCTACTAGCCAACGAACATCAATTATCCTTGCAAAAAAATCAAATGAATTGATGGCGCGTTAATGTGATTTAGTGGCGAACAGTGCCATAGGCTGGCCGGCTGGCCCGAGATTCCCTCCATGCTTCTCGTCACGTGTACTGGACGCCCGCCTGCCTTTCTTTTTTTATTGAACCTAGCCTAGGTGTTGTTTGTTGTTGCGTGTTGTCTCGCTCACAGCCTGTTTTTTTTTCTTTGAGCATAACACGTGTTGTTATCTAGCCCACACAAACCATATCTCTTAGCCCAGCCGAGGAAATGAGTACATCAGCCATCCCATCCGGCTAGCCCAACCCGCCAGCTGTCTGTTCGGTACAAAACCGAGTACCGAACCGATTGATGAGGGAACCGAAGCCTCGGTTTCGTTTATTGCTAGAGACCGATCGGTCCACGTTTTCAAGGAACCGACAAAATTGAAACACCGAAATACCGACCGTTCGGTTCGGGGGAACCGAACGCCCAGGCCTAACTGACGATAGATTTGTCGAGTGCATCTTAATTGAATAACTGAAATAGTTCTGAATATCCAACGGATAGAGCTTTCTTATGGAAGTAATGATCTTCCTTGACTTTCACCATGAGGGACTCTCGATTGGAAATCTTGGTAATGTTCATGTACCATTGATGCAATTCATACATTCTCGTTGGGAGGTTCTTGACCTCGTCTGGCTCGACCAAAGGTTGGCCCCGGACATATTTCTGTTTTATTTCCTCCTCTCTAAGCGGGGGCATGGGCTCGATCTCGAGGAGTTGTCCAACAGTGATATTGAGAATTTCAGCCTGTGTTATATGCTCCTCGGTTATTACCACATTGCCCACCTCGGGAACGTAAACTGTTTGCCCACAATAATATTGGGCGCGCGTACTCTCACATGTTGTTGGCACAACAAGTGGGAGGATCGATTGCGCCGCCTGTTCTCCCAGCTGGGGAACGGTTTCCCCGCATTTTTTGACAGCTGCTTGTTGGCTCGAGCTCGAGCTCGCTTCTTTCTGTAGTCGTGCTCGATGTGCCTTCCTGATTTGGCACTCATAGTCTGAGTCAACAAGCTTGGGAGCTGGTGGTCTAGCCATACAAATGAAGTGGTCAATCTTTTCCTCAGGCACTTTCTCCCTCGGCGGCGTTGCCGGTTTTGGTCCAAAATGGGCGTCCACTTCTGCCCGCACTATGGCATTGTTTTGCTCCTCGGTCATGTCGTAAGGCCTCTGGGGAAGAGGAGCGAGGCTTGGACCATATTTATATCGCTTCATGTCTCCGCCTGTACTTCTTGTACTACCTCGACTCGTACCGCTACGCACCATAGCTGCGGCGTGTCTCTTCTGCGATTGCTGAGACGGCGGAGACGGCTGACGTGGCTGAGTTGGAGCAGGAGGAGTGGCCTGACGCTGTGCCGGACTTGAAGCAGGAGGTGTGGCCTGACACGGTGTCGGACTTGAAACGGGAGGAGTGGCCTGAGGCTGTGCCGGACTTGAAGCAGGAGTCTGCTCACGCGTTCGTGGACTTGGAGGAGCGTG